TCTACAAAAAAAGGCAAAACAGCCTTAAGAACTTAGACAGACAATACGTACGACTGACAGAACGACATTCATACAATGAGTTTTGAAACCTAAAGACTAAAAACGAAACGAAAATCAGCAATCTATAGATTATTTCAGACAAAACATTTTGCATACCATTAAAACAAACTCAAAAAAAAAAAAAAAAAAAATAAAATAAATGCTTTAACTGAACAAAAAGAGAGAATAAAAAAATCGTTCCAAATTCTACAAAAATAATCAAGCTGAGGAAGGCATACAAACTTAGTCTTTAGGGAAAAAATAACAAAATTTATATTGCGTGTATTGCAACTTAAATGTATGACTGTTTGTGTAGAATATTATTGCTTTTCCCTCTTTTATGGATCTGTGCTCCCTGTTTATGCGTTTTCAGCTGTTGTGTTCAGACTGACTGACATGTTCGAACAATCGTATTTTTCAATTTGGGAGTATTCATCAAAAGACGCTAATTGCTTTCTAAAACTTGGCAATTTTCACAAGCTCATACATAAATATGAAATACGCAAAAAACCGTGTACATAAATTACAGTGGAAGCTGTCAAAAATCGACTAGGGTATACAGAAGATTTTGCGTGATTTGGTACTAACGATCTAATTGCAATTAGAACTGACTTAATACAAAACATAGAGGCACTAAGCAATCAGCAATACAACTTATAAACTGGACTATAGTCAAGATTAGAGGCCAGCATATAGACTAGACTACAGACTAGACTATAGACTAGACTATAGATTAGGCTATAGACTAGACTATAGACTAACTATAGACTAGACTATAGAACTAGACTATAGACTAGACTATAGACTAGACTATAGACTAGACTATAGACTAGACTATAGACTAGACTATAGACTAGACCATAGACTAGACTATAGACTAGACTATAGACTAGACTATAGACTAGACTATAGACTAGACTATAGACTAGACTATAGACTAGACTATAGACTAGACTATAGACTAGACTATAGACTAGACTATAGACTAGACTATAGACTAGACTATAGACTAGACTATAGACTAGACTATAGACTAGACTATAGACTAGACTATAGACTAGACTATAGACTAGACTATAGACTAGACTATAGACTAGACTATAGACTAGACTATAGACTAGACTATAGACTAGACTATAACACTAGACTATAGACTAGACTATACACTAGAATATAGACTAGACTGTAAGACTAGACTATAGACTAGACTATAGACTAGACTATAGACTAGACTATAGACTAGACTATAGACTAGACTATAGACTAGACTATAGACTAGACTATAGACTAGACTATAGACTAGAGTATAGACTAGAGTATAGACTAGACTATAGACTAGACTATAGACTAGACTATAGACTAGACTATAGACGACTATAGACTAGACTATAGACTAGACTATAGACTAGACTATCGAGTCTATAGTCTATATAGACTATAGTCAAGTCTATATACTATGCTATACTCAAGGCTAGAGACCAAACTATAATCAAGTCTATAGCCTAGACTATAATCAAGACTATAGACTAGACTATAATCAAGACTATAGACTAGACTGTAGTTCAAGACTATACTATACTATAGTCAAGACAATAGACTAGACTATAGTCAAGACTATAGACTAGACTATAGTCAAGACTTAGACTAGTTATAGTCAAGATTATAGACTAGACTATAGTCAAGACTATAGACTAGACTATAGTCAAGACTATAGACTAGACTATAGTCAAGACTATAGACTAGACTATAGTCAAGACTATAGACTAGACTATTGTCAAGACTATAGATTAGACTATTGTCAAGACTATAGACTAGTCAAGACTATAAGCTAGACTATAGTCAATACTATAGACAATACTATAGACAAGTCTATAGACTAGACTATAGTCAAGACTATAGACTATAATCAAGAGTATAATAGACACTGGTCATGACTATAGACTATAAAGTAAACTGATTGCAAAACTCTCGTCCATTTTGTAAACGCTACAATGTTTCGTTCTCAAAGAAAAAATTAAGGTTAAATCGAAAAAATATAATATTAATTTTCCTTTAGACACAGATAAAATCATAAAAATCGAAAACGCGCCTCAACATTTTGTATGCTCAAAAAAAAAAAAAAAACAATCTACTACAAATGTATATAAAATTCCAATTTAGTCGCACATCAAACCACTCCGCCTACTTGACCGCCTTCAACTGGCCACTGTATGTATGTTATACAACATGATAATGAAGAGAAAGCAATAATGATAATATTACTTAATGTTTTTTTCTGAAAGTGCTGGCCATCATAATAATTATGTTTTAGCTAATAATGAAGTAACAAAACAGAATATGTGAAGAATAAATAAGTTTTAGCTGTTTATTCTATATAGAAAACTAAAATGAACCAACAACAAACGGCATCACCAAGCAACCACCACCTTCGTACAACCAACCAACATCAAACAATTACCAATCTTGAGTTGAGTTTTAATGTCTGTCTTTCTAACTGCCTGCCTCATCATTTTGTCTGTTTGCTTAAGTGTTGCTGATGCTGCTGCTGTTGTTGTTAAACTAAACATTTAAAAGCTTATGATTTTTAAATACAATATTACTTGCCACCAACACTAACCATCCAATAGCAATGTTATCATCATTATTAATGGCAGCAGTAGTCGCAAGTATTAACAACAATGAATGTATCACTACTACTACAACTGATGATTTGTATGATCATTATTGTGTTTGTAATCATCATCATGTTGTTGTTGCTATAGATTCCCAGGCCTTTAATGTTGATGATTTTAGTTTATGTATTAGAGGTAGGCAAAATAATTGGATTGTTTTATTGCGGTTTTTTTTTTAAAGTGAGAACATTAAAACTAACTAAAATTTTTTTTAGAAAAGCTTTCTTAATATAAAAAGTTTTTGTAATTGAAAAGATTTTTAATAGAATCATTTTTTTTAAAAGCTTTTTTAACAGAAAAAGTTTTTCTAATTGAAAAAAAATTTGTAATAAAAAAATCTTTTTTAACAGAATAAGTTTTTCTAATTAAAATAGTTTTTTTTTTTTGCAAAAATAGCTTTTTTAAACAAAAAGTTTGTTTTTTTATTAAAGTATTAATTAGAAAAAGCTTTTTTTTTTTATTAGTGAAAGCTATTTTCTATAGTTAAAGCTAATTAAATTAGAAAACACTTCTTTTCATTACAAAAAATTAATAAAATAAATTTTTTATTGAAAAAAGCTTTTTCTGTTAAAAGTCATCACCATCAAAAATTATTTTTTATAAAATTATGTTTTTAATAAAAAAGTTTTTTGATTATAAAATACTTTTTTTAAAAGCTTTATCATTGGACAAAACTTATTTCATTAAAAAGCTTTTCAAATTAGAAAAAGCTTTTTTAGAAAACAAGATTTTTCATTAAAATAGGCTTTTTTGTTTAACAGAAGCTTTTCATAAAAAAGCTTTTTCATCAGAAAAAAGGTTTTTCATCAGAATTAAGCTTTTTCATAGAAAAAACACGTTTGTTCATTTTAAGAAGCTGAGAAAAAGCTATTTTATTGAAGGAACTTTTTCATTCGGGAAAAGAGTTTTTATTATTGTAAAAAGCTTTTTTCTATTAGTGCTTTTTAAACTATTTATTAACTATTAGTTAGAAAAAGCTTTCTTTTACATTAATGAAATATTAAATCAAGCTTATGTAATTAGAAAACTCTTTAAAAAAATCAATAAAGTTTTTCATACAAAAGCTTTTTTCATTAGTTCAACTTAAGCTTTTCATAAAAAGAAACTGTTTTATAAGAAAGAGCTTTTTCCTATAAAGCAATTTTTCATTGGTAAAAGAAGTCTTTATCATTAGGAAAAGTTTTTAACATTTGAAAAGGCCTTTCTATTAGAGCTTTTTCATTATATGAAAGCTTTAAAAAACCAATAAAAGAAAGCTTTTATTTCAACTTAAGGAACAACAAAGGAACTGTTTTATAAAAAAACTTTTCTCATTAAAAGGCAATTTGTCATTGAAAGCTTTTATTATTAGGAAAGTATTTAACATTAGAAAAAGTCTTTTAATTAGAGCTTTTTGATTATATGAGAGCTTTGATTCATAAAGAGGCTTATTCATTATATTTAAAATAATGTAAAGCTTCTAGTTTATCTTAATAAATCCAAGCTTTTCTCTACCCCTAATATATTTTTTCATTTCTTTAATATTGGCTATTATGATTGTTGATTACTGCTGCCGTTGTTTTTTGCTGCTGTTGTTTTATTCCCCACAACAACCTCATTCTCATCTGTTTAATATTACTTTTGTTGCTTTCATTTGTTGCATGGCCCATATAAAAACTTTAATCTTCTACCGATATTCATTAATAAATGAAAAATCGCAAAAAACACAACAAAAACAAAGTTATTAAACAAAATTAAAAAAAGAACGATCCTTTTCAAAGAAATAAACAAAAAATACTGAAAACGCGTTGAGCTGTTTCTTTGTAGTTGTTGTTGTGTGTGTTTGTGTGTTTAAACCTTTTTTTTATAATTTTCATGATGATTTGTTTTGTTGGTGGTTGATTCTTTTTGGTTTAGTTGTTATCTGTAGTGTTGCAAAATGTGCTGAATAATGTTGCGCCCGCATTTTTAATTGAATTGCAAAATTAGTTTTTTTGTTTAAGTTTTTATGAAAAGCAAATTTTTAATTTATTTTGTTTATAGTTTAATTTAGAACTGTTTTAAATAAAGGTTTTGAGAGGTTTTTTTTGTTCATGAACTTTCAAAAGCTTTTTTAAATTAACAATTTTTTAATTTAAATTTACAGCCTTGGGATATGAGCAATTAAATTTGAATAAATTTGTTATGTCAAAAGCTTTCAAACTTCATAGGGGTTATATTTAGCCCAAAATTTAAATTTCATTTAATTTTAATATCATTTTCTGAACTAAAAATTCAATAATAACTACTTTTTCCAATTTCCAAACTTACTTGTCTTTTGTTGATAATATGGGTCATCAGTATCCGTAAAGAACCATGTCTAAAATGAAATAGAAGAAACAAATATTAAATTAAACATCATTAAAATTAGGTTATTATATTATTTATATGTACGAACAAGCCCAAAAGTTTATGCTAAAAGTTTTCTTTTTCCTCAAACTTCCTTTATTTTTGTTTTTCCTCCATTCCTGAGCTTTATCTTTGTTTTTATAGCCTTTAAGCCATATCGTTTCAATTACAAGTAGTTTAGTTAAACTTTAGTTAAATTTAGTTTATGTTGCCATAACTATATGTACTATTTATTTAACTATTGTATTCACAAACGTATTAATATATTTCAAGATGAGAGAAAAAAAACAAACAAACGTATGTATTAGGGTGATCGACTCGATTTTTCGACCGGTTTTAAAACCGGTTTTTTCTGCTTTACCAGTGTCGGTTTTTTCTTAATGTTGATTTTTCGAATATCGAATAACCCGGTTTTTTCACTTTTTAAAACCCGGTTTCGAATACTTTTATTTGCTTTGTATTCAAAGATTATTTAAATGAAATTTTTAAGTAAATAATAATGCAGCCCGTCTAAATTTTAAAAATATTCGATTCGAGGAACTAGCGTATATTTTTCTACAGCTCCTTTGGTTTAAACTTTTTTGATTTTCCTAATTAATTAAAAAAATTTATTTGTAAATTGATAACTGTTTGATAAAATTTTATCAATCTTAAGATTTAATTCCAATTACAATAATTAATTTACGCCTGAAGTGTTGGAATGCATATGCAAATTTCCTAAACAGGGCTTTTAAAATAAGCTTGGATTACACAGTACCTTAATTTTTAACAGAAGTGTCCCACTTTTTTCCTAATTTTTTTATATTAAAGAATAATGTAATCAGACGACTAGATCTAAAGTTATAATCTTTTAAACTGTTAAAAATCATTTCGGGCCATGTTTCATTAATCAAATTTAAACATAAACATTAAGTTTTTCAAATTAAAACATATTTTTTTTATTTATAATGAAAAACCGGTTAACCGGTTTTTCTGAATTTGAAAAAAATCAACCGGTTTTTTTTAAATGTCAACTATTCGAAAACCGGTTTTTGGAAAATGTCGAATAATCGATCACCCTAGTATGTATTTGTAAATCAAAAAGTAGTTTTTGTCAAATTATAGCAAAACTTTTGCTTAACATCAGAGAAAATGAGAAAAAAAAAAGAAGAAAACTTTTCTGTTTACAGCTTTTCCTCATTCTGTCAAAATAATGTGCGCCAAAAGTTTTTGGTACACTGACAGCCAGCCATTTATTGGCGAGAAAAAAAATTATTTTGTGTATTTTGGGGATAAAAATAAATAGGCAAATATTTTGTAAACTTGTATTAAGTTGTCAATATATTGTCATTTCGTTTTGTTATGTTCGTTGTTTGGTATTCGTTGAAACAGAGATGTAAAGGAGCTATTTGCAAAAAAAAAAAAACACAGAAAAAGTAATTTTCTAGTGAAAAAAGCTTGTCCAAGAGAAAAAGTACTCTTGTTGTACATTCTCAAGTAAAAATGCTGTTTATTATGAAAAAAGCTTTTCTATGACACAAGCTTTTCAGTTCAGTTCTAGTTCAGTTCTAATTCAGTTCTAGTTCAGTTCTAGTTCAGTTCTAGTTCAGTTCTAGTTCAGTTCTAGTTCAGTTCTAGTTCAGTTCTAGTTCAGTTCTAGTTCAGTTCTAGTTCAGTTCTAGTTCAGTTCTAGTTCAGTTCTAGTTCAGTTCTAGTTCCGTTCCAGTTCAGTTCAGTTCTCGTTCAGTTCTAGTTCAGTTCTAGTTCAGTTCTAGTTCAGTTCTAGTTCATTTCTAGTTCATTCTAGTTCATTTCTAGTTCAGTTCTAGTTCAGTTCTAGTTCAGTTCTAGTTCAGTTCTAGTTCAGTTAGTTCTAGTTCAGTTCTAGTTCAGTTCTAGTTCAGTTCCTAGTTCAGTTCTAGTTCAGTTCTAGTTCAGTTCTAGTGCAGTTCTAGTGCAGTTCTAGTTGCAGTTCTAGTTCAGTTCTAGTTCAGTTCTAGTTCAGTTCTAGTTCAGTTCTAGTTCAGTTCTAGTTCAGTTCTAGTTCAGTTCTAGTTCAGTTCTAGTTCAGTTCTAGTCGTTCTAGTTCAGTTCTTATTTCCTTTCAGTTCTAGTTCAGTTCTAGTTCAGTTCTAGTTCAGTTCTAGTTCAGTTCTAGTTCAGTTCTAGCTTCAGTTCTAGTTCAGTTCTAGTTCAGCTTCTAGTTCAGTCTAGTTCAGTTTCTAGTTCTAGTTCAGTTTCTAGTTCAGTTCTAGTTCAGTTCTAGTTCATTTCTAGTTCAGTTCTAGTTCAGTTCTAGTTCAGTTTCTAGTTCAGTTCTAGTTCAGTTCTAGTTCAGTTCTAGTTCAGTTCTAGTTCAGTTCTAGTTCAGTTCTAGTTCAGTTCTAGTTCAGTTCTAGTTCAGTTCTAGTTCAGTTCTAGTTCAGTTCTAGTTCAGTTCTAGTTCAGTTCTAGTTCAGTTCTAGTTCAGTTCTAGTTCAGTTCTAGTTCAGTTCTAGTTCAGTCTAGTTCAGTTCTAGTTCAGTTCTAGTTCAGTTCTAGTTCAGTTAGTCAGTTCTAGTTCAGTTCTAGTTCAGTTCTGTTCAGTTCTAGTTCAGTTCTAGTTCAGTTCTAGTTCAGTTCTAGTTCAGTTCTAGTTCAGTTCTAGTTCAGTTCTAGTTCAGTTATAGTTCAGTTATATTTCAGCACTAGTTCAGTACTAGTTCAGTTCTATTTCAGTTCTAGTTCCAATACTAGTGCACTGCGACAGTTGTTGCCTCAGCTTAGAATCATCTTACTCAGCAACATGGGTGTTTTTAAGTACTTTTACATTTTGAAAACTACGTTCTAGCTTTTTTTAAAAAAAGCTTGCATAAAAATTTCAATTACACTCTATTGTCGGCAAAACACAACTTCCACTCCTTTAATTACAGCCTCTATATTGTATGAATATTTCTTGTTCTCTTTAAATATTTGTTAAAACTTTAGTTTATTTGTTTTATTTACTCACATTTTTATTTATGTATTCCATTTTATTAAACAAAATTATGACTAATAAAATTTACGAGAAAAAACAAAAATTGCTGATAAAAAAAAACTTCCCATAAAACTGGGTCACTTAATTGCAATTATAAAAGTTGGATTTTTGAAAAAAGCGTAATATGTTTGCTATGAAAAATAATAAAAAAAGTAAACTAAAGTAATTAATCAAAAACAAGTTTAAGTTTTGTTTTTTTTTTTTTTTGCGAAATTAAATTTCAATAACCGCAACTAAAATTACAAAATGTGGAGCAGTTTTGGTTATTTTGAGGTGTGTGTAAGTGAGTTTGTTATTGAAAATTGTTTTAAATTGAAAAACAACTTTCATTTTTCTTAACCACATTAAATTATAGTATGTATAACAAAAGTCTGTTTATAATTTAAAATTAACTTTTTTTTAATTTAGATATGCATTTAATAAAAGAAAAAATTTAACTATTTTTCTAACACCACTACTACTACAACTAAATTTATCTTCTGTTAAATTTATGCTGAATAATTAAATTGCTAACTCTGGTCTAGTCTTGCTAAATTTGATTTAAATTGGATAAAGTTATACGTTTTAGTATATAGTAATACGCATATTTGTTTTAGGATTGCTATCTGTGTTTTTACAAGTTAAAAAAAAAAATTGTGAAAAATTTAAAACTATCACTCATTTATTATTTTTTTATAATTGAAATCATATACGAATATTTTAAGATTATTGAGAAATTTGCCCCATCTAAGAATCTGCTAATTTTGTTCCATAAATCCTTTATTAGATTTATGAAGAATATATAGATTTACTTTTAAAAATATTATAGAAAATTTTTGTTACAACTGAAAAAAAAAATTACATTGTCATATTTAAAGCTATTTTACTAAGTGGGCGAGTTGATTATTTGTCTATGTTATAAAAATGTTTAATTAAATATTACATTTTTAGAATTGCAGCCACGTGGGTGTTTAATATTTGCTAAACGAGAATATAATTAATTCTAAGAACGTACATCTGTAGTTCTAAAAATGTTAAAATTAAAAAAAAAACATATTGATGAGCCGAGGCAATAACTATCGCAGTGAACTAGTGTGGGTGGGTAGAATTGAACTAGAACTGAAATCGAACTTAACTAGTATTGAACTAGAACTGAAATAGAACTTAACTAGTATTGAACTAGTACAGAACTAGAACTGAACTAGAACTGAACTAGAACTGAACTAGAACTGAACTAGAACTGAACTAGAACTGATCTAGAATGAACTAGAACTGAGCCAGAACTGAGCCAGAACTGGAATTAGAACTGAACTAGAACTGAACTAGAACTGAACTAGACTGAACTAGAACTGAACTAGAACTGAACTAGAACTGAACTAGAACTCAACTAGAACTGAACTAGAACTGAAATAGAACTGAAATAGAACTGAACTAGAACTGAACTAGAACTGAACTAGAACTGAACTAGAACTCAACTAGAACTGAACTAGAACTGAATTAGAACTGAACTAGAACTGAACTAGAACTGAACTAGAACTGAACTAGAACTGAACTAGAACTGAACTAGAACTGAACTAGAACTGAACTAGAACTGAACTAGAACTGAACTGAACTAGAACTGAACTAGAACTGAACTAGAACTGAACTAGAACTGAACTAGAACTGAACTAGAACTGAACTAGAACTGAACTAGAACTGAACTAGAACTGAACTAGAACTGAACTAGAACTGAACTAGAACTGAACTAGAACTGAACTAGAACTGAACTAGAACTGAACTAGAACTGACTAGAACTGAACTAGAACTGAACTAGAACTGAACTAGAACTGAACTAGAACTGAACTAGAACTGAACTAGAACTGAACTAGAACTGAACTAGAACTGAACTAGAACTGAACTAGAACTGAACTAGAACTGAACTAGAACTGAACTAGAACTGAACTAGAACTGAACTAGAACTGAACTAGAACTGAACTAGAACTGAACTAGAACTGAAC